GGCATGTGCTGCTTCAGTTAGGTTATTAGTGAGAAATAATGAGGTTATATGCAAGACGTGCATCCAAATGAGAGAGAGAGAGACCGCGAAGCTAGACGTTTCTTCTAATATTAAATAACGTACTCTACGATTAGCTCAGTGAATAATTAAAAAAAAAAACATAGACCCGGCTAGAACAAGCGGAGTGATACAAAATTGTGAAAGGGCGTTCCTGTAGCGATACCAGTACAATATCTCACGGTTCTCAACCAATCAGATTTGAGAACCAGAACGAACTGTTGTATAAATATTAACAAGCCGCTTTATGTGCAATCGAAATATATGCATTCAATAATGCTGATTATGCTGGTTTGTTTTAAAACTATAAACAATATATACACATACAGTGTGTATTGAAACTGGTTTATGTATAAATACACAAATCGTCATCCAAAATCAGAATCTGATCGTCCGAAACTGGAGTTTGCTGATACTTCAATAATGTATTTAACGAACGGCAATGAACAGATTATTGTGTTATTACTAGAAAAACCTATATATTGAACATGTTATATACTGTATTGTTCTTAGTCTTTCCTTCTTTTTCCATAGAGCTGGCATGTGCAAGTTTGGTGAAGATCTGACAAATGGCCCAGGAGGAGTTCAGAAAAAGAGGGGTTTTTAACAAGTTAGAATGGAAGATAAAGTTTATTAATTACTCTTGTTTGGGCTTAAAGTAAGGATTCAGAAAAACTCACATATAGTTGCTGAATTATTAGCTAACGTGTAAAGTTGCTAATTATAGTGACACCTTGTACTTGGTATGCATTTTATCCATTTTTTAAATGGTAGGCTATTCAGATTCAGTGTTATTAACTGCTGAATTTTGATTGGTCAAGTTCAATTACAGTGCATCTGGAAAGTTTTACAGCGCTTCACTTTTTCCACATTTTGTTATGTTACAGCCTTATTCCAAAATTTATTTTCCTCAGACATCATGCATGTTTACCTCTTCTCCAGGCAGACACGCGCAGCTGGGCTGGGTCTCCCCTCCAGGGGCCGTTCATCGGCCCTCTCTTCGACGACACACTGGACTCTGCTCAGCACTGAGCCTGGCACCTCGGCGCTGCTGGCAGGCGTGGTGTTCGACTCGCTCAGCAACAGCATCTTGATGTCCTGCAGGTCCACCGGCCCCGCTGATGGCCCCTCCGGCCTGCACACTAAGAGGCTCTGAGGCGAGCAGGCCAGACGCCTCTCTGGCTCGTCATACAAGCTTTCTTCAAGCTGTGAAAGGCCCGAGCTGTCCGTCTCGGTCACCTGAGCATCAATGTGGCTCTGAATAATGTGCTGCAAGTACTCTACCTCCGTCATCGCCACCAGGCTGAGCTCTGAGCTTTGGCCCACAGGCTCATAGACATCTGCTGCATGTTGACTCTTACAGGCCATCGATGTGCTCATCCTGAAAGACATTTCAAACCATACTTCAGTCCAATTTCCTATAAAAACAGATCTCTCTGCATTTGTGTCTTATCCTGTTTAACTCAAAATATGGGACATTAGTGGCAAAGGAAAAGGTGCTGTGGAGTGCATGTTAATTTTAAGTGGATACCTAACTCTGTAAAGTAGATGTAATATGACAGACATGAATATAACTTTCAGCGTATGACATCAGCTAAAATTAAAATGCCGTAATTACTACAGAAAAACTATGGGAACATGGGATTTTTAGCCACTCTAAAAAAGAATCCATCCATTCTCCAAAAATCACAACAAAACTTTAAACAAAAAGACAAAGACTTTCTCTTCCTGATTTGCTATATTTTACAGAAGTAACAATTAATAATAGTAAACAATATACCCATTTTCTTAAAATCAAACGAGAAATTTATAATACTATTTTTAGCCAAAACACTTCTTATAACTATGGCTTGTTAAAGCTGCAGTCCGTAAGTTTTGCCTTTTTGTCGCCATCTCTGTTTGAAAACCTACAATTGCAGCAGTGTGCGGAATTATCTAGCTTGTGTGGGTTGTGCGGTGGCGCAGAAATTGAAAGAAATTGACATTTCTTTTCAGTTCAATTCAAATAAATTTGAATTTCAATTCAAATAAAAAAAAAAAAAAAAAAAA